TTAACCAATGGGATTTAACCAATGGGATTTGGGTTTTAGTGGGCGTTTGAAAATTTTAAGTTTGGATGGCAACTATACTCGTAATACACCATTAGCACGCATTACTAAAAGAAAAAAAATTTTTTTTAATATAGATAACATATCTTATAGTATATATTTTTATTTTATTTTATAATATACATATAAAAAATATATTTCATTTTTCTAACCTAGCCGCAGGGATTTTTCTTCGAAATTTCAACTTCTCGTTCTTTCCATTGTTGCTCCTGATCCATGCAATATAACTTTGCTCTAACCAAGTATCGAGTAATTTTATTTTCTTCAGTCAATACTAAATTTTAAGATTCATGAGCTAGAATCTAACAATAATTCCTAAAAAGTAATCTACCAATAATAACACTGATTGATCATACCTTTATTCTCTTGTAGCAAGGATTTTGTTCCTATTCCAAAAGACATTCCATCTTCAGTGTCACTTTCTCTATCATTTTCATCTTCATTATATGAAGTATTATCGAAAATTGAAGTTGCAGGAAATTCTTGAGTGCCAAATTTTCCCATTAATGAATCTTTAGTATTTATGAATCCTGAACCAAATACATTTTTATTCAGCAGAGAAGATACGTAATTTGAAAATTCAAGTGACTTCAAGCAAAATATTAATTGAAATATTTACTTATTGAAACACTATATACATCAAATATTCTTTGAGTAGTCAAATTTGCATTGAGAACTTACTTTGTTCTGTGATTGAGACATGCTCGAAATCGAACTACCACGATTCAGATTTTCCTTAGTAAAATTTGTAAATGTCCTATTGTTTGATTAAAACATCGAATTACAAAAAAATCCTACTTCTTTTTTGATCGAACCATCATTTTGTTGCCTTTGTCTGAGGAATCAGTTTGAGTTTGAAAGAAAAATAATAATAATATAAATAAAATAAAAGAAATAAGTTGAAGGAGGAGTAGGAAAAAAGAAAAAAAAAAAACTTTCAAGTATGCATAAAATAACTCTACCACTAAGGTCTCTGTCTTAGCAACTTCGAGTGAACATTCATGTTTCCTCTTACGTTTATGTCCTTTACATATTTAACACTTGTCTTTCATTCACATTTCTCAATCTTTTTGTTAAAGTATATCCTATTCAAAGGTAAAATAAAATGCTTTTCATTTAACTTCCGAATTACTTCGCGGATTACCGAATTACTTTAATAGTTTATAAAGTAAAACACGAAGTTTCTAATTTTTTTTGTCTTACCCTTTCCGAATTTGTATTCATGGTCCCGAATCCATTCTTGTGACCAAAAATTATTATTTTAATAATACTTTATTATGACAAGATGATTTACAAAAATTGGCCAATCATAATAAAGCCTGCTATGCTATATGTTAAATATTAGTTTTAAAATATACAATTATAGTACCAGAAAATTTCCGGTCCACCTTTGAAAATAATTATCTATATACAATTAAGCAGAGTTTAAAATGCTATTTTGGGATGCAGAAAAATGCTCCCCATGCGTCACTCGTGCAGCATCCTTACCGCACTTGTACAGCGACTGTGCAGCACCTGTGCAGGTATGCTTTCGGGTGAAATTTCTGAATTATGCCTATCGTATTCATGTCACGTGATTAACCAGATGATCGACACGTAACGAATTTTGCGAAATCGCCAAGACAGTTTAAATAAATCTCCCGGAACCTTTGTTGCTCTAATATAATTAAAATAAAAATCTTATATTATAAAATTATAAATGATTTATTGATTATTTACATAATTTCTATAAAAATTTTATTTATAAATAAAAGAATTTTATTAATTAAAAGTATT